GGGACTTAAAATAGCCAGCCTAGCCCAGCCCTAAGAGGGTCGCGGGCTAGGGCGGGCCGGCCCTTCAATTTTTTAGAAAAAAATATTTTTTCAAATCTTTAGAATTTTTTTCGTGACATAATCTCTTAATCATAAGAACGACTTCTGTTTATTTAGAATGTACGAGAATCTTGATATTTGACAAGGAATCTCGTCATTGAAATGTAAATTCTCTATATCTCTAGCTCTTCTTTTTTTAATATTACATGAATATTTTTTTTAGTACTTCTCTTTCACTTTCCTTAGGTTCAGGAATTCCTTCTATAAGTTTATATGTTAAGGTTTTTTAATTTAGGTTTAACATTATTTGTTGATTCCATCATTATAGTCCATAAAATTCTTGAAATTTGCTAGTGTTGTCAATTTTCTTTGGGTATTAAAACTTGACTTTTTTCTATACAGAAGAGCAATTTAATAATTAATAATATATTAAAGTAAACAAAATGATTATTGACAATTATAGTAATATTTTCTTTTGAAAAAAATTATTATTGTCCACTTAAAACTTTCCTCGTTCGTTGTTAATTAAGCAAAAGAAAACCTAATCTTGTCATACTACATGCATGTCAAAAGTATAAATTCTAGTTGATATTGAAGGGTAAATGAGCAATCTAAGGTTGGAAAATAGGGATTATAGTTAATATTTTTTTTTTACTTTTTTAAAATATTTAAATTTGAATTTAATTAATTTTTGGCCACGGGCCGGCCCAGCCCCAGCCTCGGTCAAGCCTCAAGGGCCAGCGGGCTGACTTTGGCCGGGCCTATAAGCCTCGGTTTTAAATGGGCAAAAAAAATTCCAACCCAGCCCTACCCAAATAGCGGGCTGGGTTGGGCTGGCCTTACGGACCAAGCACATTTTGACGGCTCTAATCAATTACCACACCCAGATCTCAATAGGGACTATATCCGTCCACATAGCCCAGAAACCATAGAAGAACTCAAACCAAACCAAACCAAATAGCCATGGATTGATCATATGATCCAGATATTGAAAACAAGTCAATTTGCACATTCAGTAGATAGAAAGAAGGACATAACTGAGTGTTAGAGATAACTCAGATCTCAGTAGTAAAGAAAATGGCCAAATAACCTCAAGCCCTAGTGTATCAGAGTTCACAAGGGTCTCAAATGGACCCCGAGCAGTGCTCACACCAGGAAGGTCAAAGAGAGAACCTTAGTGGCCTTGGCTTTCAGCCGGTCAAGAGTTATAGGTTCAGAGTAGTATAGGTAATCAATGAGAGTGAGAGAATAGTGGTCAAATAGTAGGATTTGAAGAGGTACATTTGCATTTCAGAAACAAACATTGCAGAGTTGATTACACAATGAACATACCAGGAAAACAAAACTCAAAAGACAGGTGGATACACAAATTCACACTTAGCATATTGGGGCAGAGAACGTTTGTAGGAAGCAGGGAGATTATGACTTCTGGGATTACAAGACTAATATACAAAAGTGCACTATGCCAAAAGAGTACTAACTTAACATGTTCAAAGCCTAGGGGCCAAATTATGCTGAACACCAGAAGTTAAACAGAACAACTCACACCAATAAGGCAAGACAGTGTCACACATTATAGGGAAACACAAATTAAGAAGCTATTCTAAAAGGTCCCAAGTAATTGCTAGGAAGTACAGAGTTGGGCATGCTTAAGACATACTGAGTGATGAAAATAATCATAGGAGCAAATTATATCTACGGGGAAGGTCTTAACATAGATTAGGACACATTATAGATACAAGTCAATCACTATAGAGACCCAGGACAAAGCAGGAAACAAACTGATGCCATATGACCCATGTAAACATTCAAAGTATCGAACTTCAAACAACCTAAATTGTTCGAATTAAGCATATACACATCTCAGAACTGGCCATTTATCCATAAGTAAGTGCTAAAGAGTTTCAGATTGCAAAACATATTCGATGCTAACAAGGTCATATAGAGATAGTCTAGAAACACATTAGGTTATGAAATATTAGAGGTGTGAATATGCAAATCATGAACACAAAAGAATGAATATTGCAAAGGCTAAAGAACTCACCAGTTACCGACTGACAAATAGATAAACAAGAAAGAACGGAATTTACAACACTCTGGATGTCAACGAAGAGCAGTATAACCTAGGACCTTAATACGTCAAAGTTCCCAAGGGCTTGAGAGGAATCCAGGGCAGTGCTCACACCAAGGAAGGTCGAAAATAGAATCCCGGTGGCCTTGGCTTTCATCCGGCCAAGATCTAAAGTGTAGAACAAGAGAATAACAGCGTGAAAACCTTTAGTTTTTTAGTGAAACTTAACGATTAAAGTATGTCCCAGAAGGGAATGGGAGGGGTTTATATAGTAGCAAAATTACACGCATAAACAAGGAAAAACGGTCAATCAACCATAAAAAGGAAAGAATAGCATGCGAAATTGATCCAGAATTAATTTAGGAGAAGTCAAGCAAACCCAAATTGGAGTCGGATTTAGGGTAAATCGTTCACAAGCCTCAATCACGACAGAATCAATGGACATATACCATATACAAAAGAAATTTCTCTTTTTAAGTGTGTATAACCACACTCGTACCCAGAACCAAGAATCAAAACCAAATCTGGCTTGCCATAAGCGAAGTGGTAACGGAAGTTACCATAAAACGAGTAATGGTAACAAGAAAAGGCAAGTAAATCCGCGTATGGACGCGTATAAGGAAGGAACAGGTAAAAATCTCTATGGTCGGCTAGGGTTTAGGTTTGGGAGATGAAGGGAAGGCTGAGAGAGTTTAGGGGCGGCGATTTAGGAGGAATGGGCTAGGGTTTGGGCTATGGAGATATAAGAAGATGCGTTGGTTTATTATGGGCCGTTGATCATTTGAGATCAAAGGCCAGGATCAAAAGGGAAGTGGGGCGGGTTATTTAAAAGGGGTCCAACCGGGTTGGGTATGGTTTGTGTTTTGGGGTTATTGGTCTGATATTGGTCCGGAAATTGGCTTTCAAAGTTTGGGCCAGACATTTAAATACACACAATTTATCAAAATAATTTACAAAAATACTTAATAAATAAATAAAAAATATTTTTTATGCACTAAAATGATTTAACATAATAATTTAGAATTATAATATAAATGCTATTTAGACACAAATAATATAGATAAAGAGCATTTGTGTATGAATATAGGCTATTACTGCAAAATTGTATAATTAGCATAAAAAATGCAAATGTAATTATAGAAAAAATGAAGTAAAATGTTATAAAATATACATGTGGCTGTAAATAATAAATTGGACGATTAATTCATCACAAATAATTTGAGGGATAATTATTATATATTTATATAGTAAAAAAATGTAAAAGAAATTAATTTTGAGCTTCAAAAATTATGGAAAATTATAGAAAATGCTTGTATAGGTTTGTAAACTAAATAATGATGCAAACATGCTATTTTGGGAGTGTATATATATTTTGAAAAATATGAGGGCAAAATTGGGTATCAACACTAAAAATAGCCATTGACCACAACTTCACACCTCTACAAATTTGCATTGATTCTAAACAAGTTATAAGGATGCTAAATGAGGGAAAATCCCATTATAATGCAAAACAATGACAATGCAACTCTAGAGAGAAGTAGCTCTCAAACAATAGTGTAACTATTTTTTATTATACTTATATAATTATCCAGTTTACCAAAAAAAAAATGGGTAGGGGCAGAGCTATGCATGTAACGAGTGAAAGGGCTTCAATTAAATTCTTGTCATTGAAAAAATATGTTGAACAAATAAGATAAAATAATATTTTGTATTTATATAAATTGTTAAATCTCCTTTAACACAATGAAAGCTTTACTGTAGCGTCAAGGTGGTTTCAAAATTGTTTTAGCACAATTATGTGTGTGTGTATATATATATATATATATATATTCCCAGCTTAAGAATATGAACAGAGAAAAGAGAGGCCTCATCATAATTTGTGTTTTGTGAGTTGCGACTTGCAATAATCGGAATATTGAACAAAGTCGAGTCGCGAATTATTGATTATTTCCTTTTCACTCGGATCTGGACCTGGATATGTCGGTCATTTTATCTTTATTTTTTTATCAATGGAATGATATGTTTACAAGGCTGTATCGACTACCACAAAATTTTATTTTATTTCCTTGTTAAAAAATAGTAGTAGATGTCTATCCTTTTGGACGGCTACGTTAGCAATCCCCACTACTATCCTAATCTCAGTTTAGTTTGTGGCTGGAAAATTCCAGTTTCTTGTAATACCACAAGAATTAGAGAAGATATATTTGCATATAAAAATAGAAGTTGATTAAAGATGTCTATCCAAAGTCGTTGGAATAAATTAAAAACATGTTTATACAAATAATAATGGTGGTTTAATTGCCAAGGCACTTTATCTCTTGCCACATAATGACATTGTCTATGGCGTCTTAGAGCTTGCTGAAACACGCCAATAATTAGAATACCCTCCATTTAGTTTTAAAACTAGATCTCTTCCTTGTTCAAAACAATTAAATATATTCCTTTTGTTATTTAAATTGGCAACGTGATTGTACGTGGTCTTTTTCTTTGATTCCCCTTATGGTCATTGTAATGGCATATACTAAACCGTCAGGGATCTTGTGAGATTGACTTTGAACCACCACACATAATTACTTAATAAAATAGGTTTGAAACGAAAAGTTGATTTATTAATATTAGGGTAGCCGTCTAACCTTCTGGACGCCCAAAAGGATATTAACACGCAAAAAACACTATGTGCAGTTCACATCTTGTTCAACCGACCACCTAATTTAGTCTTGTTGTTGTCATTTCTCTGACTAGCAGAACTCTGCTTCATATGAGCATTCTTGTCCTTTCTAAAAGCTCTTGCGTTGGACAATATGCATGTTACACATACATTCTGCAGTGTACAATGAGAAGATGACCAAAAAAAATATAAATAGTAGAACACTTTATGAGCTCATTCTGATTAGGCAAAAGAACACAGCAGCTCTCATTACCATATAGTATCAAAGGAATCAGGTAAATGCAGTTGGAAAAATCAAGGAAAATGATTCCCATGGGAAATTACATGAATAGATTCTCTCCAAAGTGGAAATAAACCACATTTCTACATGACCCCCCAAAAAAAAAAGGAAAAAGAAACTACAATAAAATCAATAGGGAAGACCTCCATCAGGAAGTTCCCAGTTATCTTCCCCTTCGTCATCCCTCTTGTTCTTAGATGCCTCTTGCTTATCATCTGAGAAATTTCTTGGTGGGCCACGTCTATTCCAATAAAAGAGACGTAAGAATGATAGAAAATTATAATAGTAATTCAAAATGGATGTTATAAAGTTTCCAGTTAAGTTAATTATCAAAGAAATTCGACAGGTGGATCATGATCGTAATTTCTGAATATCTTCTAAACCATAAAATTAGAAATGGTTGATATTAAATGGTTGATGGATCAAAGTCTCATTCTAAATCACTAGCTCGACAAATCAGCAATTCGACATTTTGTGGATGACAAAACTAGCAACCAAGGAAACAAAAGCCAATTAACAAAGGACGCATAGCCTGCTTCTCTTTCAAGCTTGAAATCACAACACTTTATTATAAAGACCAGGCTTTTGAAGCTAAGACAACCTACTATAATTTAGATATAACAAGGAGCTAGCAGAATTTGCTTCTACTGCCACGGACATAATATTGAGGCCTTCTAATTTGACTGGCAATACCAATTTGAAGCTTTATAACTGCTGAGACTATTAGGTTAGCTTTATAGTTATGACATAAGAGACTTCATGTGACGCCCATGACAAAGGTAGACTGATGAGGATAGGTCAAAAGTAGGTTGACAAGCCTCACAAAAGGGGTGCACATGATACCTCAGGCAAATCTCATCGGAAGAGTAGAGAAAAGTGATGTGCTATATAAGACAAAGTGCAAGTTCACACGGTAGGCATGCTTAGGGCTCAATGATGGCGTAGCCTATTGGACAAATCTGTGAGGTCTATCATCCAAAGCAGATAAGCACCATGGGCTTGGGCTGTGACACTTTGATAGAACACAAGACAGCTTGATAAAGAAACAGACTTCGGGCGTAACTCAATCCCAAAAGCTAGCTCAAGAGGTGAGGATTGCCCAAGACCTAAGGACTCTTCAAAATGCTGCCGTACCCATGTCGGATCCTCCGAAAATACACTACTTCTGGAGGATCCGACACGGATCCGACGATATTTTCAGAGAGTCCGAGCAACATAGCCCAAGACCATATAAGGAGACCAAAGGACCAACACTCCACCAATGTAGGATATCCAACATCCCCACGCCCAGGCCGGGCAACAGGAGCATAGAAAGCATAATATGGAGACCCAACATCGGGCGAAACAAGAATTGGGAAAACCTGGCTATGATTCATGATAAAAAAAATGAACTTTGGGCCTAACGCAACCCCAAAAGCTAGCTCAAGAAGAGAGGATTGCCCAACACCATATAAGGCGACCAAAGGATCAACACCCCACCGATGTGAGATATCCAACACAACTTAATGATTCGAATTGTGGCCCAAATAGAGGTAGTTGATAGATTTGAATTAATACCATTAGCACATTCAACTAACCAGAAGGACTAAACCTACTTCAATTACTTACCGTTCTAGCAAAAATACCCAACTCCGATAAAAAGTAGCATTGAACATTTCTTGTTAATTAATGGAGAAGAAAAGCAAAAGAACAAAGGAGACAAACACGGATTTGAAAGGCAAAATGGGGGGGGGGGGGGGGGAAAGGGTATAAGAGAACCACCTCTTGCGGTTGCGTTTAGCAGCCTCACGTGACTTGCGCTTCAATTTGTCGTGCTTGTTCTCGAAATATCTCCTACGCTTGCATTCCTGTATGACTCCAGCTCGCATAACCTCCCTACGAAACCGTCCGACAAGCTTCTCTTCGTGCTCATTATCATCCACAATTACCTGAACATTGTACCCCGACCTGAAGTAAAGGGTGTTTGCATTTGCAAGTGAGGGGCAAACGACGGCCGTAACATCAGAATTAGAACACGATAGTGACAACGGGTATTTGTGATTGTTGATAGGTGTTGAAGAAGAGAGGGAATCAGCAGAGGGAAGAGAGAATTGGAGGGGGGAAGCTTTGGGGGGTGGGGGTTTGGAGGGGGTGAAGAAGGAGAAGAGATTGGCTATGGATGACACTGCCATTTGAGAAATTGGAGATGAGGTTGTGGCACTGAGCCAATGTTTCCTTTTGGATAGGATGATAACTCTGATAAATTGATAATTCCGGTGACATCAGCTAAAGTGAAAATATTTTTTCGAGCTAAATTTTAATTTTTAAAAACTATTATTTGAAGATTTTGAATTATTATTTTTATATTTTTCAGAAACTGACTATTCCAAAAATCAGTTTTACTATTTTTCTTGAAACTTTTAGAAAATACATGTTTGGTCATAGATTTTGCCAAACTTTTTCCAAATTTTTTTTGGCAAATACATGTTTGTTCATAAATTTTATTCATATTTTGGCAAATTCTCAAAACCCAAAACCCAAACCAGGCCAAAATATTATTATTACACATTTTTTAAAAATTGCCCCAAACTTTTGTATTTTATAAAATAGTCCACCATTTATTATTTTGTAACAATGTTGTTTCGTCTTCTCGATCATCTGATAGTGTTGTTGCTACTGTGTTAAAACACAAAATCAGAAAAACTGTTAGAAGAATAAAAGAAATTGGAAAAACAGTAAAGATTAAGAAATATTCCGAGTCCACAATTTGCTTGTGCGTCCTTAAGGAATTTTAACCCCCTCACACGTTGCCAAGGTAATGGATTAAATCCTCCCAGGATAAAACGGAATAAACGTTCCTGCAACAGTGGCAATACAAACTGCAGGATACCAAAACTTAAAGAACGGAGCAAAATCACACTTACGAATTTGTGACAGAGATACTGCGAATTAGAATGCAGTATTTTCAGAAAAAGGAAGTTCTGTAATATTTTTGGTGTGTTAAAAACGAAGCCATGCCTCAGAATTTATAGGCAATTATTGGAAGAGGTGTGATGTTTGTTCTGGAAAAGGTAAACTATCCTTCTGAATCTTCAGCAGTGATCTGACATTTAATTAATTATTAAATAATTAATTAAATAAATTTTGTCCAAAAAATAATCTTATCGACCATTTGACAAAGCCGAAGCCGAGCGAGCGACGACGACGCGAGGGTTCATTCTCTTCAACTCCTTTTAAGAGCTTTAAGTAGTGATTCTATATATAAGCACACAAATGTAGTTGTCCCTCACCAATGAGGGACAAAGTGCAAGTCAAAAGCTCACTTCATTCAAATTTTCATTTCCCTCCATTTTATTCCCACCATTTCCAATTCACACTCTTATGCTTTAAAACCCAATGCTTAAAGTCTTTGAAGCTCAATGCCTTTAAAGTCCAACAGATAGTGTATTGCGTAGTACATTATAAAAATGATAATTTTGTGCCAAATTTATTTATATTCAGGACTATGATTTGTGATAATGATAATGAATGTTATTGGTGAAGGTACTGTTGGGTATTTGTGATAGTTTTTAGAACTTGTGGGTATAAGTCATATTTCATTTTTTTTTTTTTAAAGTGAAATATGTTTTGAAAACTGATATCCAAACACATTTCCATCTTCAAACCAAACTTCTTCCAAATCAGTTTTCAAAATAAATTTAAAAATCTATAACCAAACGTTAGCTTACCTCAAGCAAACACGTTTAGAAAAAAGAAAAAACTGATCTTGCATACTCAAAAACTTCAAACTCCACCTATATGTAATGATTCTCGTACTTCCAACTTCCAAGTTCCAACTGCACTGTTCTATTTAGGACATAAAAAGTAAAAATTTACGAGTAAGATGATGTTATTACACTATTTTGTATAAACATGTCTTTTTAGGACATAAGGTGTAGTAATTTTATAGGTAAGATGATATAATTACAGTGTTTTGCCTAAACTTGTCACCAAGTGAAAGTTTATTGCGGATCCTAGGAGCTTAGGTTATCTTGTACGAGTAGGGGTGTTCATGGTTCGGTTTGGTTCGGTTTTTCCCTAAAATGCAACCAAACCAAGTAAGTTGGTTTTTCAAATATTAGAACCAAACCAAACCAATTAAGTCGGTTTTTCTCGATTCGGTTTATGTCGGTTTTTCGATTTTTTCAGTTATTTGTCGGTTTTTTCTTAAATATAAGACATACACTACCAAACACATATTCCGACGACCACATTTTCAATGTAACACTATCAAATCAATTGCCCTTTGATAAATCTATTATTTATCAAGATATAGTGATGATAATTGAATCAAATAGTGATGAATAATTTAAGGACTCAATTAAAAATATGTTATTTTTAACACGAAATGAATTCTTACACTAAACAAAAGAAAACTACCAATCAAACTAGAATGTAAAGGTAAAGAACTATATTAAAAGTGCAAACTATTTACCATTAATTTTTTGAAACTTTGTATAACAATATACATATTTATAGGTGTAATAATAAATTTGAAATAGCTACTCCTATAGTCAGTTTGGTTCGGTTTTTTTCTGATTAAAACCAAAACCAAACCAAATTTGATCGGTTTTTAAAATTCAAAACCAAAACCAAACCAAACCAAAAAGTATCGATTTTTTTGGTCGGTTTGGTTCGGTTTTTCGAGTTTTTATGAACACCCGAGGGTCAAGTATAATAATATTGAAGATAAATAGATGAGATTATTTTATCTTGTGTTTGATTAAAAAATTTATTTTGATGTAAGTTTTTTGCGAAATTACTTATATCACATATTTTGAAATTATATTTGCCACATTTTATGTGGAATAAGAATTTCGGAATAAGTTAACCACAAGACAAAAGATAATGACACGACTCTTCTCTAAAACTCTTCTCCCGAAGTGAAACTGAAGTTTAAACTTGAAAATAAAAGTTATTCAAGTTAATTTATTTTTATAAAAAAATTCCGGTATAACTTGCAAATCAAAGAACAATATTTGTGGGGCAGACCGAATAGGTCAGGGCCCAAATAGCTTATAAGTCTTTTGTTTGGAATGGGCGGTGCCCCGTTAAACTTGCAATTGAGAAGCCCAAACAGCAATCCGGATTTCGAATTCCAACACAAATCCCGAATGATTTCGGCCCCGCCGATCCCCAAGGGTAGGTCGATTTACTCTTTCAATCACTTTCCGGCGATTTGCAAACGCTCCTCTACCCCTCTTTTTCTACAGCGAACTCTTTTCTGGCAAAATCAAGCTGTAAGTTTCACTATCTAACTCCTCCTTTTTCTAGCGTTCATACTTCCCCTCTTCCACTAGAAGATAAAAAGCCCTAATTTTTATGTCAGTCAAATTCACTGGTACTTTGAGTTAATTGAAAACAATACCCTATTTTGATGCCTATGCGAGATTCTTTACACCATTGCATCTAATTTGCTCGCTCGCTCGCTCGCTCGCTCGCTTTAGTTAGCTATGTCTGTTAACAACAACAATAACCCTAACAAGAACATGGGAGGTTCATCCTCCTTTGGCAATTCACCTCCTTCAAACCCAATTGCACACCTACAATCCCAGTCACAACCCCAACAACAGATGCCCGCCGGGTTTCCCGGGTCATTTCAGTTATCTCAGCTCACTGCAGCACATGCCCAAGCCATTGCTCAAGCACAGTCTAAAGTCCAAGCTCATGCTCAAGCTCAAGCACAAGCTGCCCATGCCCAATTTCAGGCCCAATTACAAGCTCAGGGTCTGTCCCTTAACCAAGCCCATGCTCTTGGCAATTTTGGTTCTGCAAGTGCCTCCGCGAAACGCATGCCTCAGAAACCTCCGGTGCGCCCACCTGCATTCGCGGCTGCTAACACGGTGTCCCCAATGAGAACTATGGAGCTTTCATCTGCTGCGAGAAGGAAAAAGCAGAAGCTTCCCGAGAAGCACTTGCACGAGAAGGTGGCTGCGATTTTGCCCGAATCTGCACTTTATACTCAGCTCCTTGAGTTTGAATCTCGGGTTGATTCTGCCTTAGCAAGAAAGAAAGTTGACATCCAAGAGGCATTGAAGAATCCACCTACTATTCAGAAGACGCTTCGTATATATGTGTTTAATACTTTTGCTAATCAGATTCGTACTGTTCCTAAGAAGCCGAATGCTGAACCGCCTACGTGGACCCTTAAAATCGTAGGAAGGATTTTGGAGGAGGGAATGGATCCTGATCAAGCTGCCATGTTTCAGAAATCGAGCTCCATGTATCCAAAGTTTTCGACTTTCTTCAAAAGAGTCACCATTTCCTTGGACCAGAAACTGTATCCTGATAACCATATTATAATCTGGGATTCTGCAAGATCGCCTGCACCACAGGATGGTTTCGAGGTCAAAAGAAAAGGAGAGCAAGAATTCACTGTTAATTTAAGACTAGAATTGAATTACATGCCTGAGAAATATAAACTTTCACCGGCTTTAACTGAAGTTCTTGGTATCGAGGTTGAGACTCGTGCAAGAATTATCTCTTCTATCTGGCATTATGTTAAGGCTCGAAAGTTGCAGAACCCTGACGATCCTTCTTACTTTAACTGTGATCCTCCGCTTCAGAAAGTGTTTGGGGAAGGAAAGGTTAAGTTCACTGCGGTCACACAAAAGATCACGCCCCATTTGTCTCCCCCACAACCCATACATTTGGAACACAGGATTAAACTTTCCGGAAATAATCCTGCTGGAACTGCGTGCTATGATGTATTGGTTGATGTGCCATTCCCTATCCAGAGGGAACTGAATGCTCTGCTGGCCAATACAGAGAAGACCAAAGAGATTGAAGCTTGTGATGAAGCAATTTGTGGTGCCATAAGGAAGATCCATGAGCATCGGAGGAGAAGGGCTTTTTTTCTTGGTTTTAGTCAATCTCCTATTGAGTTTATTAATGCGCTTCTAGAGTCCCAGACCAAGGATCTGAAAGTTGTAGCAGGAGAGGCAAGTCGCAATGCTGAGAAAGAGCGACGGTCTCAGTTTTATAGCCAACCATGGTATTTAACTGCCGCTAAATTTTACTTGCCATTACATTTTGAGTAAAAGTATATTCTTGAAGTGAAATTGCTTATTACCATCCGAAGTAGCTTAATATTTATAGTCTCAGTAACTTGGTAAAGCTACAACAATTCTCACCAAGATAAAAGTGTGTATAACATAAATAGGTCCCCACAAATATTTATCTTCTTAACTGGCTTAAATTGACA